ATGATGAAGAGTAGGATGAAGAGAGGGTATTATAATGGGATGAGAGAGACCGTGGGGTAGTTGGCTTGACGCCGGACGTGGGTGCATGGCGTGGCTGGTCTAGGTTTAATTTAAGGGATTGGTCAATGAGGAAATTGGTGGGTGTTATGAAATGAGCCTTCCCTGGTACCACGCAGGCTACGTTTGGCACACGTGGCCCAGTGTTTGGGTGGGGGCCCTGGCTTTCGGGGCAGCTGTGCTTGGGTGCTGGAGCATGGGTATGGGGCGGGGCCTGTGCGGTGCTGGGGCGGTTTGTTTGGTATGTACAATGGATAGAGTGGTGATAGGATGGATATATGGTGGCTGTTGGGGACTGGCACTGCTGTGGGTCTGAGTGTCCGGTGTTGGGCTAGTGGTACCACGGTCTAAGAAAGGGGGTAGGACTAGATAAGTGTATACTTCTTCCTACTCCCTTTCAAGCATGTACTATTGGAATGTTGTGATGTTTTATGCGTACTGGTTATATGGTTATTATTTTTGTAATTGTGTGTATACATGAGTGCATATATATAATTTTCTTTTATATGCTTGGAAGAAATAAAGTTCACATACGCCATGCATTGGAGTGGTGAAATACACCTAGAAAGTCACTTTTGGCTTTTCCCGTTTCAGAGGTTGCCACAGTGAGAGACTGTGGGGTAGTTGGCTTGACGCCGAACGTGGGTGCATGGCGTGGCTGGTCTAGGTTTAGACATTCCAATAGTACATGCTTGAAAAGGAGTAGGAAGAAGTATACACTTATCTAGTCCTACCCCTTTTCTTAGACCGTGGTACCACTAGCCCACTATCAAGGAGTGGAGTGCCAGCTGAGCAAAGCAGGCAGCTGCCAGATCTCCACAGGGGCCCCTGATTGTACGTGGATCTGAGTTCCTCCACTGAAATTGACTGTAAACCCAGTCAGGTCTTCCGTGGTCCATGTTGTCGTTCTGGTCCTGCAGGGCAGCTTGGTATCAGCCCCAGTTTTAAGACCTGATTTAGTTTTAAATGTGCATTTTAGCAAAGTGCTTTGTTTTCCATGTGTCAGTAATGAACAGACAGAAAACCTCAGATAAGGTCGTAGTGTCCATCACAGAGATCCAGGGATTATTCTCAAAATCAATACATCTGACTGTTACTCTCTTTAATAATTGATTGATTGGTCAACGTGTCAGAAAACAAACAGCCCATTAACAGTCTAATTAGTTTTTTTATGGTGACACTAAGAAACCAGCAGATATTTACATCTGCTCATCAATCATCAAACTCTTTGATCGTTTTGTGTTGATCATCTAATCAATTAATCAGCTAATCATCATGAGCAACACAGCTGCTAACAAATGAACGACAAAAGTGAAATGTGCAGAGAGAAACACCTCGGTGATATTTCCTCATGTTCACACACAAATGGTGAATAAATGATATAATATATAATAAATTCTCGTTCACTTTGAATAGAAACTTGTGACAGTTCAGGCCCGAAATGTGACTGAACTGTTGTAAACTCTGAGATTTTAAACAGCAGCGAGTGGAGGTTTAATGGTTCTACTAACATGTGTGATCATTTGTACCTGTAGAGATTTATCATATAAAATAATACAACAACATGGAATTATATGAGCTGAAAGAGATACTCCTGAGACAGATACAGGATGAACTGTTGCTGAGAGAAAACACACACAGTTTAAATCTGAAGTGAAAGTTACAATACAAACATAAAATGAGATGTAGACTGCAGGAACACGAGACTCTTTAAAAGAGCCCGCGGCACTTTTCTTTGAGGTGGCCCAGTCTGATCAGTAGGAGGGTCAATGTAATGAAGTGATGCTGTAAATCATTTTCATGTGTTGCATGTCTCATTGAGGTTGCACTCACTTTCTGACCCCCACCTAAAGGTGAAACTGACATTTATACACTCAACCCTTTTTATCCACCTGAGCTCAGGTACGAGTCCTGACAGGTGAGCATAGGTTCAGGTCTGAGGACAGTTTGTTATATGCAGCTCACATCACAGCAGATTTCTCCGGCTCCGGCAATTCTTTACCTCTGAGTCCTTCAGTGAGTCACAATACTGCACTGAGAATCTCAGAATCAACTTTATTGGCCAGGTGTGTCAGACACACGAGGAATTTGACTCTGGTACATTGGCTCTCAATGTGTATGTACATATCCCCCTGCAAGGGGCAAGTAAATAGTAAACCAACAACAGTTAACAAGCAACAAACAGTGCAAACAATGCAAGATAAGCAGTATAAACAAGCAGTAAACAATGCAGACAGACAAAGGAATGCTCATTGTGAAATGAGTATTGCACTGAGGAAAGGTATTATCGTTTCCTTTCGAGTTGTCCATTTTTGTAACGTGACATGACCACTTTGTCAGTAATACTGAGCTTATGCAATATTGCACATAGACAACTTCAGATGCAAAGGGTCAATTTCTGCAAGAGGAGCATGATTACAGTATAAGACCATGGGCAGCCTTCATTTAAAGTTGGAACTGAATAAAACTGTAAGCTGAAACGTGACTCTTTCAACATCTGACAGCAGCAGAACACAGAGGTCTCCTTGTGGAACATATTAACTTTAAAATATTTCAGTGTTTCGAGGATATGAAGAGACTGGAGGGGAGACACCAAACGGAAACTGGACTTTTAATGTAAGCTTGTTATCTAGTTTTTGGCCTTAACCACATTATCTTCTCAAATTAACCCTCTGTCTTTCCCCTCTAAACACCAGTTTACATACATACAGAGGACATGTGCTAAGAATGAATGTGTTCTGTCTTGCTCCTGGCTGGATTATAGGTGTGTGGGCTCTGTGAAACACCTGTTACCAAACATAATTACATCTGAGGTGTCATTGTTAACATAACCATTAAGTGTTGAGTTGGGGCATGATGATAAAGGAAGGGGGCTGAAAAAAATGTGGAAATACTCAAAAAATAAAATAAAATAAATGAGCAAGACTCTGTCCCATCAGCAATGATTCAACAATATCTAGAAATGCAGTCAGGCATCAGAAATGAGCAAATGATAGAAAAGCTGTGATTTTATTTTTATGTTTTAACAGATGGCCGTCCTCAAACTGCTGCCATGTAGGAGTGCAGTGTCTGAAATATTATTTAATGCTGTAGAACTTTTAGAACAGGGCTTGTTAGCATCTTCTCAGTCTGCTTCTTACTGTCCTGCATGAGAATTATGTTCCAAAGTTACAGCAGTTCTGGTCATTTCACATGGGATTTGTTTTCTTCACATTGGTTTAAAGTGGGGAGGTGCAGAATATCATGTGCTTGTGTAAAATGTCCAGTAACTGACACATAACTAAGAGTTAATTGCTGCTGATTTAGTAAGTAAAAAGTAATTTTATTAAAAAAAAAACTGCTTTGAAACAAAGTTTTTAGGGGCTTAGCTGGAACTAATAGACAGTCTGAAACAGGAAAGTTGCCTGGGCTGGCAGGATTAAACCTGGATGGGACAGCTTTGCATGTCTGTGAAGCCACCCTGAATAAATATAAAAAAATACACAAAGTACTTGAATTATGCTTTACCGGTGTGCCTCAGTGTGCATAAAATATGCATATAAAGATGTTTTGTATCGGTGGTTAAACAAATAAGAAGAACCAATGTTCTGGTGGTAGAAATTTCCCAAAATCAAAACAATACGTTAAATGCATCCTCTCGCTAAACTGCAATGGCATGGCAAATTTCATCCTCATAAATAAATACATAAATATATAAATTATTAATTTGGGTTAAATCACCTTTAGTATGAAAAATCAATTTATCCATATGCTAATAAAGCCCCTCAGTGGCTGCCCTGGAGACAAACCTAATAAGACCACTGGGTGCCATAATAAAATTACAGGTATGGCTAGTCAGATGTCCTGACACGGTATCTTTTCTCATAGCTGTATGACTTACAAAGACCCACTAAATTCACTGAAAAGTCCTTGAATTTTGTGTCCAAATGAGTGCCCTCTTGTTTCCTTCATGCCCTTCAGCAGGGAAAAATATCCAGGAGAGGGCAGCTGCAGCTACGTTACACAGAAGGGTGATCCGCAACCGCAGGAATATCAGCTGGTACAAACAGCACTCGGACTTCTGGAACTGGTACAAGTACTTCACCGACAACGGCAACCAGGAGGCAGTGAGTCACACACTCACACAAAACTCTTTTTTTTTCTGCCTCAAAGTGCCCCGTCGCCTAAAGTCTTTTTAGTATAAAATAAACACTTGTCCCTTTCTGAGAGGTTACATTGTAAAGCTACTCTAGTATTTTATTAGATTTGTTATAGTGGGTGAGATAACTATATAAGAAAAATAAAGAAGACACAAACAGGCAGAGTTTTCATCAAACCTTGCCCTAAGCTTTATGGGTTTTCCAGTTTGAACATAAGAGGCTAAGAGCAGGGCTTTTGAATGAGTTATAACTATGCTGAGGTGTAGGATGTGATTAATAGGTTTTGGGCGGAGTAGCCTGTAAAGTCTGCACAGTGCCGGTATGGCCCACAGTGTGTCCCTGCCCTCAGTATTTAAATCATCTCTTTATTAAAACCCTCCCTTTCACCTTTCTCAGGTTCAGGAGATGGACCGTATCTACCTGTCCTACCTGCAGAACAAGAATCGTGCTGAGGTACGTCGCTCCTATATGGCCTCCCTGAGACACCTGGCGGAGATCTACAAGTCCTGCGCCAATTCTGATGACCCCAACTGTGTGGCTTCCTACACCAGCAGGTCGAAACCTGAGCCCCGTAGAGTTGCACCAATAAAAACCTGTGATCCCACCAAGGATTCCTACTGCCTGTATGCTGCTTTGGTCCAGGGCAGGAGCCCCTACCTGCCTCTTGTGCTCCCTGCTACCACCCCTAACCCAGCACCAGTCAAGGCCCCAGGCCCCCTTATGTCCACTCTGCTGTCCCCATCACAGACCCTCAGTCTGGGTATTACCACTATGCTCTGCCTGCAGGGCCTTTTCTTTCCAAGGTATGCTTCTAGGCAAAGATGTTTAGAACATTGTAGTTCAATTTATTGAACAATTTATGGCAATGGAAAGTGTTCTGAGAAGTATATGATGTGTTCAGTGTATTGTTTGGTATAGTGCATGCACAGATGTTCAGCTTTTAGCAAGTGAACCTAAGTGAACATGTCACATTTGTTTGTCAAAAATAATGGGTTTCTCAGTGTTACTGTGTAGATTTTTAAGTATTTGAGTGACAGTTTTATTCAGAAAAATTAGTATTTCCACAGTTCATAACTTTGCTTAACCTCAGGTCATTGAGGATTGTTGTACCTAAAAACTACCATATGTAGGATTTAAACATTTGGTACTTGATGCCACTTTGTTACTGATATCAGTGTCATGCTCAATTTTAGCCTTAATTATTTAACTCCCAGCAGCTCACTCCCAACCTTTAGGGAGCAATCCACCATTTTCTGGCAGAGAATCTTGGCCTCAAGCATCGAGGTGCTCACTCATCTCAGCCACTTCACTCTCCATCATGAATCATTTGATGATTTGTCAGCACCTCAGTGAAGCCGACCTAAAGTCCCCTCTCCATAGCATCTCCTGACTCCTCCTGCAACCAGGTTTTTGCATTGGCGACCACTGCAGTTGCAGCCCTTCTAGCCCACTAATACTGTCTGCTCATTCAGAAGACGCCCCCCTCCCTCAAACTCAGCTATAGACATAGGGAGCTGGGAATAGAGCCATTGCTCCCTTGAAGCCAGTTGAGATGGTTTGAGCATCTCATCAGTTAAAAAACTTGGCTGGAGAGGCAAGTGACCCCAAGAAAGACCCCAACCTGGTGCAGAAAGCCTCCTCTGGTTTCTACCTACAGTACCCTCATTGTGATCTTCTCTGGGATCCCCACTGTGCTTATGCTACCTCTCATGTGGTATGCTTTATTTATAATTTCATTAATTTAACAGATTTTAACAGCTTCTTTCTGTTTTTTAAAAATTCATTGTCAGCCAAGCCTTGATTAACTTGACTTTTTTGGTTTTTGCTGTGATGTGTTCTGGCAGGCGACCTATGCCCCCAACCCCCCATTCCCTGCTGGCCCTGGATCTTGCAACCTTCTTCCTGAAGATGGCTGCAACCCTCTTACTGCCAACAGATTTGCCACTCCCCCAGAGGCATACAATAATGAGGAGACAGATGAGGCTGCTGCAATTCGTACTGACCCTCCTGCTGCTGAGCAGCACAGTGACCCCTATGCCATGTTTAGGGATACTTATGCCAGTGCTAACAGAGCAGATCCTTATGCTATGTACCGCCACACGAGCGCCTCAGCTTCTCTTCCAGCCATTGACCTTTATGTCATTCTGGGTCGATATATGGATCAACCTGAAGATAATGATCCATATTCCTCTCACGTGGAGGCTGCTCCAGAATACAACCATAACGATCCTTTCTCTGCAATTCATGTGGCACTGGCTGCGACACATCGCCACAGTCCTCCCACCCCCTGGCAGCAGTACCCTTCTTCCAGTCCCAGCTATGAGGAGCCTGCCCAACCTCTGGGCCCCCCGGGTAAAACCAAGGAGGGCTATGACTGCTTCATTGGCTACGATCATGAATGTTACCCCTCAACGCTTAGTGATCCTCAATCTGGAGCTCGCCCCTGCATTCCCCAGACTGCCGAGGCCTATG